AAATAGAGGTCTTTTACATGCAAATAAAAATCCAAAGCCTTTGGATGATATCAGTTCTGCTTAAGTCAATAGTAATGTTTTAAAGCACTATACACTGTAAAATAAATACATGCATTTATTAAAATAATAAAAAGTCACAATAATTCACTAAAGGAAAATTAAATTTATGATTTTTTTAAAAAAACATCAGATTGCAATTTACACTGCTATTATTCTTTGTACTCTCTGTTTATTTTATTTTATTTATTTTATTATTTTGTGGACCATTTTTGCTCATACAATTTGTTTTGGGTCCTTACATATCTCATCTCTGTAATGTTCATGCTTCTCCCTTACTTTAGTTTCAAATAGTTTTGTTTCACAAATTTATTTTGCAAATAGGTCCATGTTCATTCTCTCAATATGACTAAGCAACTTAATACATTTCTTTCGTACTGATCATTTTCAAGTCAATGAATAATATACATTAAATGTGATTATTAGAATATTAATGATGAATTAAGCCATAATATGCCAGGGGTTGTATATTGAGTGATTGGTTAGAATTCTTTTTTTAAAAAAAAATTACTGCAAAAGGAAAAAGTAAAAAAAAGAGGAAATTTCAGATGTAACACTCTTAATTATCTTAAATTATTTTAATTTGGATTACCTCTTTTTTGTCCATATGAATAAACCTTTCAATTCAGGTCCAGTCACAAACCTAAGAAGACATCTGTACCACATACATGCCACCAAAGTGAAATGAATGAGATTTTAAATCTAATTTATTTAGAACATGAAAACAAACAAAATAAGTTCTATTATCGACAAGTGCAGGTTATTTACAAACTTGGATGAGCCTGCACTTAATTCAATAGCTTTCCAAAGGAGCCTATAATAGCATAGATTCAAATCCTGTGGCTGTTGAAAGAGAAAAGTGCTGGAAAGTTACAGCCTTTGTTGTTCCTATTTGCAGTTAATCCTGCATTAGATTTAAAACTATATTACTAAAAAAAAAATATATTCCCTTTGTTGCTTTTGTTGGTCTGCCTAGTTGTTGGTCTGCCTATTTCTATTCCTCTTAACAACAACAACAACAATCTTTTCTATAAAATCACTACTATATTTCTTAATGTCAACCTGCTTCCTCTCTTTAATTCTCTATTCTCAACAATTTCAGAGTAATTTATGCCAAGACTCCAGTGACTGACTTTACTTTAAAGAAGAAGTGGGGGAATATCCTAACTTATTTTATATATATTTTTAAAAAAATTAAATTTACATAGGTAAAATATCTGTTCCTCTGCCTCTCTCACACATATGTTCATTCATACACACAAATATGTGCACACACTATCATACAGACATTGCTACAAAGTTACCTGCTTGAAATTGCACATTTTATTTCATTTGTGGCAGAAACCTTGATTCACCAGAAAGCTTTAAAATCACCAGCGCCAACCATTTGTCTCTTTCAGTTATGGTCCCAAACTATGAGATCTTAAGAGAAGACACATACTACAGGGAAATTAGCCTAATGAGTATAAATGCTTCATTTTCATAATTAACCCCACATGATACTTCTGATCATTATAATCTGGAATTAGCTTAAAAAAATTATAAGACAAGTATTGAAGACAAGTTTGACTTGATTTTTAAAAAAATCTATGATTTAGTGAAATTGTCAGACAAAAGAGTTATTAGTATGAGAGTCAAAGAACATGCAACGATTTTTTTCCTTGATCCTTGCTAATATGATAGAAATGAATAAGATATCAAGAGAAGTTTTCATTAGTTAGCTTTCTGGTGTTGTTTATATGAATTTCTTGGCTTTTATGAAACAGTGGAGGTAAGCATGTGAGTGTATGTGCATGTGCCTCCACAGCAAGGCCTAAGGCAGGGGTATCAAGCTGCAGGCCTGCAGGCTGGATGCGTCACATGCAGGCCATGCCCCCCCCCCCCAGCTCTGTGAAAGGAAAAATTGTCATGATACATTACATAATGGTAACATGCTGTGGCAAGTTTGCCACCTTTGTCCTAAAGGGAAGGAAAAATGACATGTAAACCACATCAGTGTTGTCATTTATGTAAAGTACTTGTGTCAGGCAACCTGAGAAAACAATTATTGTGGCATATGTATAAAAGTAATCCTTACATTATGACAACAGTTGGGAGCTGAATTTCCATTGCTAAACAATGCAGTTTAAATGCAGACTAAGTGCTTAGTCACATGTGTCTTAGCAATGACAATCCCATCATTTGCTATTGCTATCATTAATCAAATTCTGGACTTTTTTACTGCCAACCCTGAGCCTCAGGAAAGTAAGAACTACCTCCAATTGCCCCTGTCTATATATCTCCATCCATCTGTGCCTTTTTGGTTGTTCTGTATCTTGCCATGTTCAAAGGAGTCCACTTTGTGCAAAGCAAGTCTATAGGAGGTTTGATATTTATGTATTTATTTTTATTTATTTATTTTGGTTTGTTAAGCAGGTAAGAGAAAACAAGTATAAGTATGACTATAACATGTAAACATACAAGTATAAGCAGATATACATATATACATAGCATAGGAGTACAAAATAAATGGGAACAATAGGACAGGGACAAGTGGTTATGCACACCCACTTACACACCTCTTAGGAATGAGGTGAGGTCCACATTAGACAGTTTAAGGTTAAAGTTTTGGGGGTTTGAGGATGTAACAACAGAGTCAGGTAGTGCATTCCAGGCATTGACCACTGTTGCTGAAGTAATAATTTCTGCAATCGAGTTTGGAGTGGTTTACTTTGAGTTTGAATCTGTTGTTTGCCCATGTATTATTGTGGTTGAAGCTGAAGTAGTCATTGACAGATAGGACATTTGAGCAGACAATTTTGTCTATTAAGCTTGGGTCAGACTGTAGGTGGCATAGTTCTAGGTCTTCCAGGTCCAAAATTTCAAGCCTAGGGACATAAAGTATTCTATTGCGAGCAGAGGAGTGGAGTACTCTTCTCATGAAATATTTCAGGGAGGATCCATTGTTTTAGTAGGCTCCATTTGTTTTTGGAGTTTGCACTGCTACCTTAAAGAACAGACACCTCCCCTCCAATTGTGAGAAGTATATTTGGCTCATGGAACAGAACAAAATAGCCATGAGGCAATTAGTTTCTGTAAGAAAGTGGAGTCTAACATTGCATTGCATTGAGTGGGTTCCTCTAAAACAAACAGAAAGATAAACTGGCTGCTATTAGGCTTTGGACTAGAGTGAGGAGTAAACTGAATCTTGAAAAGTGCTTGGATGGCAGTATGGAAATTAAACCTTGACCTACAGGTTGTAACTGGTATCTTTGATCTGGAAGCATTTGCTTTTTTATGCCTTAAACTCCCTTGCATGTTTGACTCACAAGACTGGGAGCAGGATGAGGTTTGGGGAAACTTCAAGAAGCAGAAGATGGAACACTGAGTGCCTCAGGATGGGGAAGCCTTGGGAGACCTTTGGGTGTCTGGAGGACAACTATGGTTTAAGACACTTTAATTGCCTTCTAGGTGCTGATAGCTTTTGCTGATTTGCTTTATGCTCCCTTGCATGGGAGACTGGTCAGTTGGGTATGGTCCAAAGCCTGGGGAAATCAGAAGTGTTGGGGGGAAGTGTTTGTGGACCTTGATGAGAGGTAGGCCATGGTTTATAGATTGTAACTGCCCTCTGTGTGCAGGTAGCTCTAGATGACTGGCTTTAGGTTACCTTCCATGGCTTAATAGCTAGACTAGGACTTGGCTAAGGCCGAGGGGAACCCCAAGGGACAGGTGGAGGTCTTGGGAGGCCCTTGGATAGATGATGGAATTATACCATCGGCTACAGACTATAACTATCCTCTGTGTGCTGGTAGCTTCTGCTGAATAACTTTAAGCACTCTTGCATACTGATGGTTGGGAAAAGTCTGGGGAAAGCTGAAGGGGCAGAGACTGGAGCACTAGCTGCCTCAAGGGAAGGGAGACCTTGGGAGGCTGGGGAAAATGAGCCTGGACTTGTCTTAGGTCCCCTTGTACCACCCCCACTCTTGAAGCATTCTATGCTTCACTTAACAACATACACATTCATTTAACAGCTGCATCATGGAGAGCAGTGAGTTGAGGTTGTTAAATGAGGCCATGACACTTTACTGCCATCACATCTTGCTCCATTACAGTCTATACTGCAGGGGTATAATAATGGGTGTAACCTGAAGAACCAGTAGTAAGTCCATTTATTCAACATTATTAAAAGTATTCTCCATGTGCTGGTAGATGGTCATTGAATGAATGTGTGTATATATGTGTAAATATGCATGTGTATATGTATATACATAAGTATATATGTATGTATCTCTTTGTGTTAATATACACATAATATGTATAGAATAACAATTTGACATTCATAATTTTCTTAGAAAATTGAAGGATAGCTTAGTGTTGCATTACTAGTAAATTCTCCAAAAATGGAATGTCTGAAATATTTTCCTCTCTGTACCTGACCTTTATATATCTTATTATAATATAATATTTTTAAAATAATTTTAAAAACTTTAATAATTTTAAACTTTTTAAAGAAAGTGCTTTATTATCTATTAATATAAAGCCTCAGGAATTTAGTAACAGGACAGCAATGTGAAGTGGTTCTGCAGAATCCAAAGAAGTGAATATTGGGAAGAGTCATCATAACTTTTTTTTCAAGTATATCAGACTGATTCCTAGAAGTATCAATAATTGCCACACTAAAGTCCATACACCTGGAAAATAACCACACTAGGATTCATTCCCTTACATGTGCATTTATCCAGTGGATATTCCTATATATCAATTTTCCCAAATATTTATATGCATTCTTAAACCCATGACTACTGAATATGATTACACATTTAGCACCATATTTGTATATGATGAATTTGAGAAGTTTGTTGACTTGGGTGCAGATACAAAATTAACTATTACCTCTGTTGATTGCAGTAGAACATTCTTGTTGATGTTCTTTAAAGAATGAGTAACCACAAACAGATTTCTATTTATGTTCTCCTTATTATTAGCTCTTTACTATTTAGCTCAGGCTTTAGAGCAATTATATAACACTTGGGGAAAAAGATACAACCCAGCAAACCAGCACTGGAGGTCAAGATGGAGAAGATCTCCACAACCACCATGTATTTTCCCTTGGTGCTTAGGTAAGTTGGGACAAAGGTGATCCATACACTGCAAAAGACTAACATGCTGAATGTTATGAACTTGGTTTCATTAAAAGTATCTGGCAAGGTTCTGGCAAAGAAAGCTACAATGAAACTGATTAGAGCCAAAATTCCTAGACATCCCAGAACACAGTAAAACATAAAGTCTGACCCTTCATTACATTCTACCACAATTTCTTTAGTTAAAGAATGCATGTCAAGGTCTAAGAAGGGAGGAGCAGTACACAACCATATAATACAAAGGAGTAATTGAAAAACAGAGCAGAATAGGATCATAAAAGTAGCCAATCTTTTCCCCACCCAACTCCTTATTCTGGATCCTGGCTTTGTAGCCACGAATGCTAGAACCACAGTGATGGTTTTTGCCAGCACAGAAGAAATAGCTACTGAGAAGATAATACCAAATGTGGTTTGCCGGAAGATACAGATTATAGTGTGAGGTTTGCCAATGAATAGGAAGGAACAGAGGAAGCAGAGCAGGAGGGATATGAGGAGAGTGTAAGTGAGGTATCGGTTATTGGCTTTGACAATTGGAGTATGTTGGTATTTAACAAAAATCCCCAGTACCAAAACTGTGATTGCAGAAAGTAAAGCAGCCATAAAAGCTAAACCAATGCTCAGTGGTTCATCATAAAAGAGAAAATTTAAACTCTTGGGAAGACATCCATCTTGGTTAATGTTTGCATACTGATCATCTGGACACTGAATACAGTTATCCATGTCTGAAAAAAAGATAAAATAATAACATGTCAGTGTCTTGAATACATATCTCTTTTTATCAAGTGTTCGTTTCTTTTCTTTTTAATTCTTAACAAGGATGTGGGAAAATGTGATAAAGATCCAATTTTCTAAATATGTAGTGGGAATCTTGTCCATTTCTTTAAATAACAATAATAATATAAAATCACTAAAATTTGCAGGATTGGATAATTTTAAAATTATTTAATTCATATAGATCGTTAATATTAATATAATATTGTTTTTCTCTGTTAAACTTATATTTGAATATATTTATTCAGAGATTTTTCTTTTGACCTTATCCTCCCAAAATGGTTGAAAACAAGTTTTCACATTATAAAATTAGTGGAAAATAAGTTTAAAAAATAATGTAGAAATGCACAGTTATGGCTAATTGACTACAATTTTTACATCTATCGGTATTTTAAAATGCTTATTTGAGACTCAACTTAGATATTGCTCATTTGTTCAGATTTCTTATCACAATACCATTGTAAGCAAAGCAAAAGAGGAAGTTATTATCTTTTCAAAGCTCTCCCTGTGTATCATAATCTCTTAATCTAGTAAAATTTTAATCATTAACCTTACTGTCCTTAAAGTCGGAGAAGGAAATGTACACAGGTGTGTGTGTTTGTGTGTGTGCATGTATGTGTGTGTGTGAGAGAGAGAGAGGGAGAGAGAGAGAGAAGGAGGAAGAGGAGGGAGGAGGAGGAGGAGGAGGAAGAAGAAGAATTTTACAATTGGTCAGCATCCACCCTAAACTGCAATCCCATAACACTTAAAAGGATTTTTGCATGATATAGTAAACCTAGCCATACTAATCTCCATTCATCTGATTCTCCATCCTTCCAAGATGAAGATCCAATTTGTTGGGGGCAATATGCTGAGTCTGTAAACAGCTTAGAGACGGCGATAAAGCACTGTGAAGCAGTATATAACTTTAAATGCTATTGCTATACATATAGCACAATGGGTAGTCCTCTTCTGGATTTCTGGGGTGCCTATACACACAGCGATCAACCAGCCTTTATGTGTGCAGCAGTTCCGGAAACTGGAAGAGCTGGTCTTCCATTTTCTAGTGTGAGCATGCATGCCAGCCAGCTGATTGGCACGTGTGCATGCGCAGCAGTAACTGGAAGATTTTCTAGCTGAAAGTTCATTTTCCAGTGCACACATGTCCCGTGGGCAGCTCCTCTTCCTGGTCATGGCCCAGACAAGCTTGCAAAGTGCTCCCTTTTTGGCACTCTCATCCCTGATATAAGACAGGCTTGAAAATTACATTAATTGCAAATCACAAAGCATATATCATTATGGCTTAGAATTTTATGCAAAGTACACCTTTACTTAATTAAAAGACTAAATAAAATTTATTCATTGTGACATAGCAATGTATTGTATTACCTACCATTCTGGTTAGAAATCTTCCCTTTGGGACATGAAACACAGTCATAGCAACAGAATGGTTTCCCGTCTTTCTTTTTTCTAACAGAACCTGGATGGCAGTGGTCATTACATATTGAAAATGGTGGTGTCTATTAATAAACAGAGGGGAGAGACAACTTGGCAAAATATTTTCGAAGTATTTTTCTCATTGAAAACAGTTTTCTCATCAAAGAGACAAAAATCATTATGTGAAACATATCCAGTTATTCAGGACATGATTCTAGGACCTTAATAGCTTGAAAAAGTTGTCTTACTATTTGCTTTATTATGCTAACATTCTATTTTGGTTCTTGAAATAGTTTGTAAATCCATAAACAAAATGCACATCCATAGATTTTTTTCCCCACAGATTTCTGTAAAAAATATTTTCTATGAAAATTCCTGACATATATATTGTAAATTATCTCATACATTTCTTGTTCCTCATATTATTCCCACAGTATGCTGGGCTCCACTTAAGTTATCCCATGCATTTATATTCATAAATGTATATGATACATCATTTTAGTATTTTCCATGAAGTAAACATTAAATTATCATCGAGAGGCAGATAGGTAGATCTACTATCTATAATGTCCTCTGCTGCCTATAATGTGGAGTATGGAAATGTGGAAAGTCCAGATTTTACACATGTTCTTCAAAAGAAGGAAATTGTCTTAACCTTCCTAGCTCAACATTCTATAATAAAATGTTACCTTATTGAAGTTGCTATGCCAGAGGATCTTCCCATCATTGATATATAATTGTTTAGTAGACAAGACATGTGGGTTCAACTTTCCTACTTTTACTCTGGAGAACGATTTGTTTGAAAAAGTAATCCAGTTAATAATATCAAATCCGCCTTCCAATTCACATTGCTCATCAAAAGATACTAGGTCTCCAGCACTGTTGTTAAATGAAATTCTCCTCAAGAAAGAGTGAAGCTGCAATGGAAAATAACGAAATGAGTTTTAAATGAAAAGGTGAAATGTCTTTATTATTGCTATTTCATATAAATATTGAATTGATATCTTCTAAACTCCTCAGTGTGGATTAAAAGCAAGTAGCAAATAAACATAGAGATAGATATATAGAACACAACAAAAAAGTATAACAGACATAGATATGCAGAAGCTGAAAGAAACAACAATAAAACAATGATGTAATAATTTTGGAGGAAAAGCAATGTGAAATTTAGAAAGTGATGCTGATGATTCTGTCTATCAATAGATAAGACATAAAAAAACTAATACTGAAAATTGCACATTCCTATTTTAATAAATACAATTGCCTGATATTAAGCATTACATATGAAACAAATGATGTGAGTTATGGCATTTTTTTTAAAAAAATGCACTGCTGGCTCATAATTTATTACGATGAAATTATCTGAAAAGATATAGACAGAATTATTTGTGATTGTGATCAATAGTAATTGAACTTTACATAGTGATACTTTTCAATTGCCTATTTATGGCAATAAAATTGATTTGAATATGAAATCATACCTGCCAAGGTTGTGGGCTCCCAAGTGTTCTCATCATTCTTTGCTGGGAATCCAGTGACCGCATGGCATTTAAAGCATGTGCCACAACACAGACAGCATTGTATACACTGTAGCTTTGGGCAGTCATCTTCATTTCAAAAAAGGGTCCAGGAAGGTTCTGCAATTTTTCTCTCCCAGTGCAAATTTCTGTATGCTCTTCACCAGTGTAGTAATTTGAAAATAAACAGTTGAAAGCCTGTTCCCAAAAATCATTAATGAAATTGTCTTTCTTTAGTAAATTAGGCTTTATGGTTGTAAGGAAATGTTGGAATCCCAATACTTCCCTGGAATGAGCTGCAAAAGACAAAGTCCCTTGGAACACCATTGTATCCCAATCCTTATGAAACTGTAAAGCTGGGAAGTCCCATTGGGCGGTCATAATCCATACTCTGTCTAGAGTGTCTGCTATGTCATTATTTTGAGTGAGCAAGAATTTCAAACTCAGTACAGAATGAGTTTCTGCATATACCAGAAGTGCTTTGACTTCATTGATCCTAAAAAAATTGAGTGTTTTTTCAGTCTCCATATATGAGTCATGGATTTCCAAAAAGTTTGTTATGGAGGGCATTCTGTCAGTGAAAGCAGAACAAATACCATTTTGGGAAAGCATTGGCACCAAGGTCCGAACAAAACTTTCTCCTTTATCATCATCCAGTGTGATGATCCCAACCCATATCCATTGGAAATGTTTAAGTAGTTTGACAATACCCATATACTGATGCTTTTCATTGGGAACAACCCGGTAAATGAAAGGGAATTGTGTTTTAGTAGAAAATAAAGGATCAAACAAGTAATAAGAGACCTAAGCAAAAACAAATTTCTTGGCATAAGTAAAATAAAAACATGTGTTTACTGATATATTATAATGAACCTTCTTTTTAATTAGTGCCCTCCAATATGGATGAATTTCCCATTTTTGAATGTAATATATTCATAATTATAACAAGATAACCATTAAATATTACATGTATCAAGCTTGCCAGGCATGTGCAACTGTAACTGCTAGTGTGACCAATTGTCAATATAGTTGGAGAAAATTAGATTAGGGAAAATTTAAGTAATTTAATGTTAGGACTTCAGGTTACAAAGCAATAATAAGAATTACTATTTCAAAAATATATTAATTTTAATCCTAAAATTTCTTGAGAATTTTTTTCCTAAATTCACGCTTCAATCCAGACTGTATTTTGGAATAGTTTTTCTCATATGAAAAAAAAAATGTAACTAGCATTTCTAATATCCTAACAAGAACACAATTTGGCACTTCTTGGAATTAAAGAAAGAAGCATTTTTTCACGATTGAAATATAATTTTAACTTCTAAATCAGTTTCACCTTTTTCTAAGCCTGTTTCCCAAACCACCAGTGAGCAGCTAAACCCTAAAGATGATAGCTATAATGGCTTCTGATAATTTCATAAGTACTATGATGCAAGTAGTATAGCTTGGACTAGATTTTAGAGCTTAAATCTAAGGTTCCAATACAAATAGTTCCTATATATAGCTATCGAGACAACACTATGTAATCAAGACATCTGTATATAACTCCAGTGTTATTACATAAGGCATATTGACATCTAGGAATAATGTTATTCAATATTTTTTCTTCATTTTAAGTGTATACGTTTGTATATATGTGTTACTTGATAAATGTCATTTATATAGCAAAGTGGTGCTGATTTTTAAATAACAAACATGGGTGTTTAAATGAGGGGTATGTAAGACATTAAAATTACTAGGCTGCATCATTAGATGAAGCCCCTCTATCTTATTTTCTCTCTTATCCTTATATGAACATCTTACAAAAATTATTAAAGTCACTATAAATAGATGAATTTTCCTACCTGTGGAATTTTATAAATACTTGAGATCGTGGCCATATGAAGGGAAGTTTCTGAATGAAGTGCCCCAGTGATAGCTATCAAATTCTTCCCTGAATTACATTTGTAATTTGGAACTGTTTTTTTCGGGCTATAAAGGAGATTCATGGTTGTCTGAAAGGTTAACCTGTCATTGAAGTAGCTGTCATAAATGTGGAATCCCATTGTTACATTAGCCAAGAGCCTTGGATTCTCATTGACTTCCTTCATAGCATACAAGAAGGCCAAGACCTGCTGATAGTTCTTTATCACTACACTGCAATGAAAGCATTGGTATAATCCAATAATATTTTAGACATTTATAATCAAAAGCACATATTTCTTATAGAGACATTTGTTTCTCAGAATGTCATTTATTCTGCCAACAACCACATACTTCATTAGAAGTAAAGTATATATATATTTGAAATGGTCAAGAAATGACTCAGAAAGTAATTTTACTCCCGTTATGAAAGTTTCACACCAGTTATTTAATTAGGTTAGTGAGAGAAAGAGGCTCTTCTTATTGGTTTCTTTGCTGTTCAGATGCTTTGTCTATAATTTTTTTTTTTTTAATTTTATTGGAAATTTATATGCCGCCCTTTTCCCTGAGGGGACTCAGGGCGGCTTACAACAGTGAAGGGAGGGAGTGCAAGACAAGACTTAAAAAGAAAGGAATCGTGATTAAAAGAAAATTGATCATAAAACACAACATTCACTCAACATTCGGGCGGGGTGAGAGTAATCCTATCCCCAGGCCTGACGGGATAGCCAGTTCTTAAGGGCTGTGCGGAAGGCCTGGACTGTGGTGAGGGTACGGATCTCCACGGGGAGGTTGTTCCATAATGTCGGAGCAGCAACTGAGAAGGCTCTCCTCCGCGTAGTCGCCAGTCGGCACTGACTGGCGGATGGAATTCGGAGGAGGCCTACTCTGTGCGATCTGATGGGACGCAGGGAGGTGATTGGCAGGAGGCGGTCTCTCAAATAGTCAGATCCACTACCATGGAGCGCTTTATAGGTAGTAAGTAAGACCTTGAAGTGCACCCGACGATCAACAGGTAGCCAGCGCAGCTCACGGAGGATTGGTGTTATATGGGCGAACCGTGGTGCGCCCATGATCACTCGCGCGGCCGCGTTCTGGACTAGCTGAAGTCGCCGGATGCTCTTCAAGGGCAGCCCCATGTAGAGCACATTGCAGTATTCCAGCCTAGAGATCACAAGGGCTCGAGTGACTGTTGTGAGAGCCTCCCGGTTCAGGTAGGGCCGCAACTGGCGCACCAGGCGAACCTGGGCAAATGCCCCCCTGGTCACAGCCGACAAGTGGTGGTCAAAACTCAGCTGTGGATCCAGGAGGACTCCCAAGTTGCGGACCCTATCTGAGGGGGATAAGTTTTGCCCCCCCAGCCTGATTGATGGAACGTTAGCCAAATTTTTGGGAGGAAAACACAACAGCCACTCGGTCTTTTCCGGGTTGAGTACCAGTTTGTTAGCTCTCATCCAGTCTTTAACAGCCTCAAGGCCCCGGTTCATCACGTCCACCGCTTCATTGAGTTGGCACGGGGCGGACAGATACAACTGAGTATCGTCCGCATACTGGTGGTATTTTATCCCGTGCCTTCGAATGATCTCGCCCAGCGGTTTCATGTATATGTTAAATAGCAGGGGGGACAGAACCGAACCCTGCGGCACCCCATAGGTTAGGGGCCTCGGGGACGATCTCTCCCTCCCCACCAACACCGACTGCGACCTGTCCGAGAGGTAGGAGGAGAACCACTGTAAAACAGTGCCGCCCACCCTATAATCAGTGGACAAGGTCTACCTGTCTCTAGGTGAAGACAATACTGTGTGCCAAAGGAAATCACATTTCCAATTGTTCCTTAGGTTAAAAATGTATGAAAGGAGAAATGAATTATGAAGTAGCAAAATATAACATGGTGTATAAACGAGAAAAGCAGCAGTTGGCTGGGCTCAGATTTACTACTAAAGAGTGATAAGACTTTTTCATGCTTAATGGGATGAATGCATCCAGCCATTAGGAATTAGTCAACAAAATATGGTTAAAATATTATTGCAGGGTGACTATTTTCTTTGGAATTTTTGTCCTGAAAACTGAAAGGAAGAAACCATAGTGTCATTAATTATAGGGTCCTTTGATAAAATTGTCCTTTTACATTTCATCCAGTTATTTGTATAGTAGATATGGCTTAGGCCTAATTGATTTTAGTGAATTTAATTTAACTTTGATTTGATCATGATTATGTGTTCATTTTCAGTACTATGATTTGACTCACTTTTTGGTTCAGATTACCAAACTGACCATATTTACAAGAGTAAAAATGAGAAATGCATGTAGCTGTAGCCCAAGATTTATTTATGAGAAACTTTTCTTATTCATTTTTCTTCCTTTCATATTTTTCTAGCTCTATAACAACCACATGACAAACACTATATTAAGAAAAGCACTTTGGAACCTGAATACAGGTCTTCCTGGCGCACACCTGACACTTAGAGTATCCGCTCTGCTGACTTGCACAGCTTTGTAATATCCTTTAAGAGCTATTGATCAATATAATCATCTCATACATCTTTGAAACAAGAACTAACACAGTAAAAAGGATGGAAACTGAAAGAGAAAGAAAGAACATGAAACATCTTCATTTATTTTGAGAAATTCAAGCTCTTAGAGATACAATGTCATTAAGACAAAATTGCAGTAAATAAGAACCAATTTGAATCCAAATGTAGAGGCAAAACTGAAGGAAGTGCTTCATATTCTATATGATACAGAAAGGTAGTTGGGATTTAAGAAAACTGTAAGTCTTGACAAATACAGAAAACAACATGATCTGGTAGACACATTAATAGAGTGTAGTTCTCATGAAAGAAAGGCGAAATGCAGAATTGAGAAAATGATATTTTGAAAACCTGTAACTATATATTTAACACAATCTTATTGAAATTCTCTATTTTGCTCAAGTAAGGAAATGTTCTTTCTCTTCTTAGGAATTATGATAATGTTTTCCTGGATCTCTCATTGAAATAAGAAATTCCTTACATAGGATCTTCAATAAACATTGATCTGGGGTGTTCCTGGAAAGATAGAACCTTGAAAAAGGAGACGAACTGAGAAGAGATCCCTCCAATGACAAAGTTACCTGGCTGGTAATATTCATGTGGAATTTGGAGGGCATCAATCCTGTTGCAAAGAATGGGGTACATCTTACATTCGGTTTGGGGCAAAAACACCAGCCATAACATCAGCAGACATAGCAATAAAAATATCATTGCAAATATAAAAATGAATTTGTTTCCTTTAAAAATAAAATTCAATATCCTACTCTAACTCATTAATATCTAAGGTTAGTTTTCCTATAACAATTCATCTTCAACAATTTTTCATTTTGCTGTTCTCTAGCAATGGAACAAATACAAAAAGTGAAATGAAATGTTGGTGGCTTTCTTTGCCCAGCATTCATTATGTCCAGTTGTAACATTTATCTGTTCTGTTTCTGATTGTGAAACTGTTCACTGAAACTTCATACAAACATAAGCAAGATAATGATATAGTTCTCAATTAGGTCCCCAAAGTGATCACAAGTAACAGAGTATCTGAAGAAAACATGTTTGTGATTTCATTCCATACCTGTTCCTTATTGAGAGAGGGAGGATATTTGTTTCTATAACAAGTAGGAAGAATATAAAGCTAGAAAAAAAGATTTGGGAGAAGGTAAAGAACATGCTTATAATAAGATAACAATGAATACATTTTTCAGTCAGAAACTTGTGAAACTCTCAGAGGAATTCCAAAATAGATTCCATAAAGTGATCATCCACATATCCATCTTGCTTGAATAATGAGCATACTCTTCAAAGAGAAGTTTTGTTGCTGTACTGTTTTAAGAGCTCAGATATTACTATTAACATTGCATGGCAATCCATTTCAGTGTAGTTTTAACTAGCCAGTTTTTTGAAATTTACTTATTTTGTATTTATTTTATTTATTTTCCAACTTTTATCCTGCCCGTCCCCCCTACAAGGTGAAAGCATATTTTAAAAAAAGAATGGAGTGCTATCAAGCCAAAGAGAATTAGCTTAAGTGACACTTAAAAGGAATCAGTAAGATTTTCCTCACATTCTTTTCTTGCCACTAAGTAGCAATTTATTTAACTAGAATTATCTAGATTAATGAGATCATATTGTTAATAAGACTTGGGAAACATTACATGATCATATTAGAAGAGGAAGATACAAATAATGGAGAATATCAGCAGCTCAGGGTTGAAATGAGAGCTCCTTGGTGCTCTCTGAGCTTGGTTGTTTTCTTGCAGATATGTCATTACCCAAACTAGGTAACATCACCAGTGCTATCAGAAGAAAAGAGATGTGTATGTTCTGTAATAAGGAGGTTTCTGAGATTATGATGCTAGGACCTGGTAGGAAAGTTGTTGCAGAGAAGTTAAACACCTTGGTAGCTCTTCAGAAAGCTTTAAATTATAATTCAATTGGAGAAGAAAGGCAGCTAAATTAAGCTCAGAGATATCCATATAACATAAAAAGCCCAAGAGGAAATGTTGTATTTTAATCTATTCTCTTTGCAAAGAGAGAACCAAGATGTTTCACTCCATCTTTCAAAACTTGTTTGACTGCTTTATTTCTAAAGCTATAGATAATTGGATTGAGCAAGGGGGTTACTACTGTGTTGAGCATTGTTGCTAACTTGTTGAAATCCATAGATGAGCTTCCAGATGGTCTGACATAGATGAATATGGAGCTACCATAGTAGATTGAGGCCACAGTGATATGTGAACTGCAAGTGCTAAATGCTTTATTCCTACCTTGGGCAGAAGGCATCCTTATAACTGTGACAATAATGCAGACATAAGAGATAGTAGTGGCAGAGACAGAGGAAAGCAGTGTAAAACATGTTGAGGCAAATTCTAAAACTTGAACAAGCTGGGTATCTGCACATATCAAGTTTGTCAAGGGTCCCATATCACAGAAGAAATGATCAATGATATTGGGTCCACAGAATGGTAGTGTTGACTTGGAAACTATCCCAATTGTAATACAAACAAAACTAATGAACCAGCAGAAAATCACCATCAGGAAACATGTTTGGTTACTCATGATGGCTGTGTAACGCAATGGGTTACAAATAGCTAAGTAGCGGTCTACCGACATTGCTCCCAGTAGGAGGACTTCTGTGGCTCCTGCCAGAAAGTATAATGTGACTTGAAAGATACATGCAAAGAAGGAGATAGATTTCTTCTCTGAAATGAGAATGCTGAGCATCTTTGGTGTGACAGTGGTGGTGATGATAATTTCCAACCAGGAAAGATGTCTGAGAAAGTAGTACATAGGAGTGTGGAGGCGGGAGTCCAGATGGATCATGAGGACAACCAGAGCATTACCCATTAATGCTAACACATACATGATCAGGACAATGCAGAATAGAGGTAGCTGCATCTTCTGTAGATGAGAAAAGCCAAGTAAAAGAAATTCTGTGACAGCATTCCCTGAGATATTTTCTCTGCTCTTCAAGATCATTGGATCAGACAAGTAAACCAAATAAGCAAAAATCCACAAAATAATGTTGCTTCTATAAATTCTGAAAATAACACAAGAGAAAAACATAAATTATGTAATAACTTTATATATCTCAAGAATTTACTGCTTAGGTCTACTTTCCAAACCATCTGAGAGGATCTAATCTATCTATATATTATATTTCATGTACATACCCAATTCTCACACACATTACCACCAAAGTCTATTTTTTATTGGTTTTTCTTTCAAATCAATCAACAGATTTTTTTTTTCTGGCATACAAAAGAAAATACACAATAAATGTAATGCTGGGCAGAAGGCTGAATGTATGAAATTCATGTACCAGTTCGTGTTAGCTTGTTCTATTTGTTTATTTCTTGTCCAAGAAAAAAATAGCAAACTCCTAGCAAATTATAGTGTGAATAGAAAAAAGAAAAAGAGGAAATAGAGCACAGTTAATCATTAATATCACTGCTTACCTTCTGGCTCTGGAATTTTGCAATTTTGAATCCTTCATTCAGCATTGGCAAAATTCATTGTATATAGTTAAGGGGGGAAGACATGAATAAAAATTATTCAAAATTATACAATAACTTGAATACAAGAGATACTTGTATATCTTAGTTTTACTACTTAACAACTTTATCAATATTTCTTTCTGCACAGATCAAGATTAATCAAACTATTAAAATAAGATAAAAATAAAAGCTGCTCTGCAATGCATTTGGCTTGCATGACTTTCTTTTTCAAACCATATTCTGAATTTTTGATAAAATATATTTCCTGAATGCATTAAGAATCTATATATAACATACAGGAAACATGCAGGAAAAAAGAAAATACTGTCTGATGGCATGAAATTATTAACTATTACAAAAGTTCTGCAGAAGAGGATCATTGACATGTTAAATAACCCTCAGCTATATTTCATTTAAGCTACAATAATCACTTGGGGATAAAGCATTCATACTTCATTGGGAAATTTGTTTCTCAGCACTAAATAAATATTGATTTTCTGCAATGTTATGATACAATTAACTAACATCAAGACCTCTGTAAAATATGAGAAATGACGTAATTGCTATTTGTACATGATGGCATAAGAAAAAAACATTTGAAGTTCGTTTTGAGTGAAAATCTTCAGGGACAACTAAGTTCATGAGAGTTTCTTTTTTGTTTGTTTATCAGATATAATAATGAGCTGTATAGTTAAAAAGTAAATTATATTGGAGATGTACATGAAGGATTTAGAGTCATGCCTGTCAATTTCAAATTATCCAGAAGAGGATATTGGGGTTCAGGATAATTTTAATCTTTGTAGGAATATTTTATTTTATTATTTTAATGTGTTTTTATTTATATTGCAAACGTAAACATTTCCCACATCATTCACAAAGCATCTCTGGAAGGCTTACAAATTAGTTATAAAACATAAAAAACTATATATACATACATGATTATACCACGAGGCAATTAAAATAAAAATTAAATTAAATTTTAAAAAGGTGGAAGAAGGACCTTTAAGGTACTAACCAATTCCATGGCTACATTATCCTCTTTAAACACCAAGGAAGTCTGCAAAGCCAAGTCTTCAGAGATTTCTGCAAAGCCAGGAGAGTGGGAACCTGCTTTACCTTTTTCAAAGGGTGGGGGCAACAGTAAAACATGCTCTGTTCTTGACCCTGCCAGTGGAACTTCTTCTACTGACAGAATTCTATCAGTTTGCAAAATTCTTCAATTCTTCTGCAAACAAATCTCACTGTCTCATTAAGAGGAATAGAGTGGTGTAATGGAGTGAACATGGTTCTGCAGGTATCCTGGCCCCATGCCATTTGGGCTTTAAAGGTCATAACCAACACTTTCAATTGGACCTATAAGCAAACCTACATCCAATGTAGCTTCTGCAGCTGAGATATTTTATGGACCATCTTGGAGGCAATTAAGATTGCTTGTGTGGTCTTATTCAATACTAGCTGGAGCATCTGGATAGTTTTCAAGAGTACGGTAGCCCCATGTTGAGCCCATTGCAATAGTCTAGAAGAAGATCACCAGGATGTGAATAACTGGGGAAAGAAGTTGCACAAAGGCCCTTCTAGCCACAACTGCTACCCACTCTTTGAGTAGGAGCCATGAGTTTAGGAGGAATCCCAGATTAACCATTGGGTCTGTTTTGTGTAGTGCAACCATTCACAACCAATGATAATAAACTCAAGATAGAGATACAGATAGGGCCCTTACTCACAGCCACAGATGTAGATAGGGCCCTTACTCACAGCCACAGATGTAGTCTTTTCTGTAGTCCCCATCCAGGCCCATACAATTTCTATGCACTGCAAAAGAAAGTCCACAACATCACTCTATCCAGAATGGATGTATATAGATGGATATCATCAGCATACTAGTGACATCTTAATCCATGGTGACAGTTTATCTCACCCAGCAGTTTCATGTAGATGAAGGAAGAAGACAGCACCAAAGCCTGCAGTGCACCACAAAGCAGAGGCTTTGAACTGGACCCCTCATTCCTTACCAGTGACTTTGGAAAAAGGAAGTGAACAAGCACAAAACTACACCACCAAACCACAACTCCCTAAAATAGCCCAAGAGGATACTATAGCTGATGGTATTGGAAACTGTTGAAAGATCAAGAAAAGCAAGAGGAATGTACTTCCTCCATCCCATTCCTGCCAATCATCTAAAAGTGTAACCTATGCTGTATCTTTCTTATACCTGAAATCTGACTAGAAAAGAGCCAGATAATCCATGTCATCCATCTAGAATTGCATTGATACCACTCTCAAGATCTAGCCTAAAAAATATGAAAGACTGGATAACAATTATCTAGAATGGTGGGATCCATTGATAGCTCCTTGAGGAGAAACATTAGTGCCTCTTTAAAAAGAGCTCAGAAAACTCCCTCCATTAAGGCCTTGAGCAGCTAGGAGAGAGACAGATCTATCTCACAATTTGTTGCAATTAAATTCTGGAGGATTCTGTCCAGTTCCTCAAGTCCAACAGAATCAGACTATTTTCAGATGTTCCCAGCCACTTCTTTAAAATTTGCACCATGCTTGGCATCCAACTAGGAATGGATTCAGATAATTATATCTTCTGGATGCATAGAAAATTCTTTTGTCTGGCCCTGCAAATGTAGCCACATTAACCCTAAACAGGCCTATTGGAGGCATTCTGTGGACATGAGAAATATCGATGTTTCACTGCTTTTATCACCAGGAGTTAGGCCTTTATAGCAGTTCTAGCTCATGATTGATTGGATTTGTCTCTTGTTTTCTTCTAGCAGTGCTCTAGATGTATCTTTCTTAATCCTTTTCATCTACTTTAGCTCTTCTGTGAACAACATGGAGTAACGGGATAGTAATGGGCCAAATCAGGCCTCATGGACACCATCATGTCCAAAGTTCTGGCTGCTTCCCTATTCCAGGCAGCTACTAGGACCTCCACAGGTATGTGCAGCAGATTATTAGGTACTACTTCCAGCTCCCTTTGAAACCCGGTTATATCCACCAGTCACCTGGAGTGCCTGAATTGAATGGGTGCAGCCTTCCTGAGCTGGGTAGCATAAAGGAAGCTTAAATTCATCAGGCATGATCTGTCCATGGGATAGAAACTCCACAGCTAAATCTGAAATGGCCTTGGACAGATTAGGTACGGAGGTTACTATGCACCAGGGGGTGCTGATGCAATAACAACAATCTCAACTGCTCCCTTGAGCCTAACTTCAGGAATGGGGTCTCACAACAGGCAATTTGTAGAGTAATTCCTCTAATGACTACTAAAGATTATTGGATGACAACTACTACCCCTACACCCTTGCCCTGAGGTCTTGGTTTGTACCAAACTATAAACCTGTCTGGGCATATTTCAGAAAAAATACCCACCCACCCCATCCCAGGTCTTAGTGATACATACCAGGTTGGCCTCCTTATTATTGAGGAGCCTTGATGACCTGGTACTAAGCAACCACAGTTAAGAAAAATACCCTCCAAGCAGTGATGTGCGGTGAGGGTTACCATTGGTGAGGCAAGAGCGCAGCAGCGGAGAGAAGCAGCGAGGTGGACATAAATGCCAGATGCCTGTCAGACACAGCGGCGAGGGTGTTGCTTCTCACCGCTGCCACACTCTGCCGCCTCACCCCTCCGCCTCCTCCGTCCCTGCCACAGGACTTTCCAAAAGACTTGGGCCATTGAAAATCAGTGTCTGACTTTCTACAGAGAAAGGCGCGTGGAAATCCACAATTGCAACCCGACACGTGCTACCAGTGGAGCAAGGGCTCCAGGGAGCTTTTCCACCTTCTCCGACTGAGCTGGGGGGAAAAACACGAAGAAATTGAAGGTGTTTCTCCTCCACCACCGGAGCATTATGCCCCGCTGATCCGGGTGTGCTGACCTCCCTCCCCTTTAGCTCCGTTTCCCCACGCCCTCACCTTGCATGTCCAGATGAACCAGGCATGCGGGTCTCCAACTTAAGGGCCCGGGAGGGGGGATTGAGGGGAGGAATTCCCAAACTGTGGTCCTCAAGACGTGGACCCATCCTCATGGATTAGGTGACCAGGGTAAAGGGCTTGACCGTCGCCATTCTGGCCACGGCGGTTGGGCAGAGGCCCGGTGTTCAACCCTTCAGGATTCCCAGTAGCCTCATCGGAATGGAGCGCTAACCTCGAAGCTGACCCTGGGTGCCACTGAGGAGCAGCAGAGCCAGGAACAGCAGCTGCCACCTGCAGGCGCAGCTGCCCCTTTCCCTGCGATATGGCTGGAGCAGCTGCACAGGTGAAAGGCCGGGAAGTCTCAGGCTCCAGAGATGCCTTTTGTTGCCGCTTTCTACTCTGCTCTGCTGTGCCCACCCCTTCTTGTCACCCACCCTTATCTCTGCCGCCCCGAGTTCTCTCGCCTCCTCCTATAGTTAACACTAAGCAGACACCAAACCACTGTGACTTGGAATCTGGAAGCAACTACCTTGGCTTTAATTATTTTTTAAAAAAACCTTTAAAATTCTTTCCTTTTCCTGAGGAGAGAGGTGAGGCCCCACCTCCCCTGCCTCTAG